TTTAATGAATTTTCCTAAGACATGTTTTTGTGTTTGTCAAAAGTACTTGGGACCATTTCCTGAGATTTTTATGAGCTGTTATTTTAGAATTTTCATCATCTTCACGGGGGAACAGTAGCACTTCTCACACTGTCATGCTGGAAATTCCTCACAGGTCTTATTTTATGTCTAAATTTCTTCTCGGTTATATTTTAAGTATTACTTCTGTAATATTTAAGTGACATTGTTTTGATTGTTTTCCTTGGGGTCTCCAATTATAAGCTGAGTATCTCTTATCTGAAATGCCTAGTACTACAAGTATTTTAGCTTTTGGATTTTTTCAGATTCTGGAATATCCATCTATCGATCTAGATATCTATAATGGATGGGAGCCAAGTCTATTTTTTTTTTTTTATTGTTTTTGTTTTTTTCGGTACCAGGAATCGAACTTACAACCTTGAGCTTGCCAGGCAGGCGCTGTGCCACTGAGCTAAATCCCCAGCCCGATGGGAGCCAAGTCTAAATATGAATTTATTCATGTTTCATATATACAGGTACCTTATACACACTGCCTAAAAGTAATTTTAAACAGTATTTTAAATAATTTCCTACATTTGACAGTTAACCCCACATCATATCAGGGGTGGAATTTTCCAGCTGTGGCATCATGTTAGTGCCCCCCAAAATTTGTATTTTGGAGCACTTCCAACTTCAGATTTTCAGATTATGCATGCTGAACTTGACATATGTATTAGATATCCTTTAAGTATCTTTCATTTCAGTAACTTGTCCCCTGACAATTTTTTTCTTTTTCATTGTTTTCCTGTAATCTCTATTAAATTTTAATCTCACTCTAACTCCTCTTGAGTAACGGATAATTTATTCTCCATTTCTCATATAAATTTTGCATTTTACCGATGCTCATTACATTTCATCTTGTTTTCTTATCCGTTACTATTCTTTGTATATCTCATTCAAAGTTTCTGGTTTTATTTCCTCTCCCCTGCGATGGTCAATCTTGATTGTCAACTTGACTGGATTGAGAGATGCCTAGGAATTAAGCAAAGCACTCTGGGTGTTTCCAGAGGTGACTGGCGTGAGGGTCTACAACCTGAAGCAGGGAGACTCGCTCGGCATGGGGACAGCGCCATCCAATAGGCTGGGAGTGCAGATAAGCAAAGTGGAAGGAGGAAGCCAGCCAGCATTTGCAAACTCAATTCTTCTCGAGTAGGTGTGTCTTGCTGCTCTAACTGCCTGTGGACATCAGACTCCAGCTTCCTCAGCCTTCTGACACGGACTCTCTCTCACTGGTGACTCTCAAGGGAGCTTTCAGACCTTCAGCCTCAGAATGGGGCTGCACCGTTGGCCTCCTTGTTCAGAGGCTTCCAGGGCCTTAATCTGAACAGCTTCTGGTTCCTCTGGTTGTGCAGTGTGCAGATGGCCAGTGTGGGACTAGCCAGCCTGATTCCGTAAGCCTAGCTAATCCCCTTTTATAATTACTCAGACATTATATTGATTTGGTTTTTCTAGAGAACTCTAATAAATCCCCAAATGTTTGCCTTATGATACTTAATTCAGTTTACAGTATTACATTATTTTATTATTTCCAGTTCTGTCCTCTGTTTAGAGATTTCCTTCATGCATAGAAGTCTTTTATGATTATTATTTTTTTGTGGGTTTATTTTTTGGAGGAGGAGTGAGGTTGTTTCTTGGTTTCTCTTATTTTTACAATATCTTTAATTTAAAGATTACCTTCTTTTGCTTGACTACCCCACTGCTAAGGGGAACTCTTTCTCCCTCACGAGCAATTCTTGTAGCCTATCACTTTTGGCCCCTTGTTTTGAATCATTTCCCCATATTTTGTGCTTTGAACTACTTTGTCTTGGCCTGTCTCCACTATCTTTGCATTTGGTGTCAGGCTTTTCCTTTCTAGGGACGTTTTTGTTTGTGTTTCTTCTGAGTTGCTCACACTTCTCTACTCTTCAGTCTTTTCTCCCCCCACCCACAGGCTTGCAAAGACAAGACAGCAGAATGAATGGTGGGGATTTCTATGCTTAAAGCAACTGGGAAGTTACAGCATTGTTCTTACCTCTAGCATGCAGAAGAGAAAAGTGTATGTGGTTTATTTTTTCTTTGTTGATTTGATAATTATGTTTGAAAGAGGAAGAAAATCAGGCAGCTGCCACTGTCCTCCAAAAACCTTACATAAGAAGGCTTTTCATTATGGATTAGCTCTCTTTATTAGACACACAACTGTGACTTTTTCATTTCCTTTTCCATTTCTTGTCATTGTTGTCAGATTCTGTCAGCTGTTTTTTCTGTATGATTTGTTGATTTCATAAACACTTTCAAACTCATTGGCATAATGCTGTTCTTAATATCCTGTTACTAGATTTCACACAGATTTAGAAATTATAAATAAGACATTGTTGCTACTAGCAATACGTGCCTTCTCTTTTATTTCTTGATCAGTCCTTTTAGGAAATACGTCAAAAATCTCAAGATTTTCAAAACTGGCACAATGCTCATCAAAAGGTGAGGTCTGTGCTACCTCTTTAAAATCTTTGAGGACAGTCACTGCACTCACCAGTAACATATGGTGGATGTGATACTCTACAAATTCTTTGGTTAGGTTATTAAATGCCTTGCTGGGTCTCTGGGATTGTTGCTTTAAGGAAAGCTAATGGCCATAAAGACATCTGATTACTCTCCAACTATTATATCAGAAAAGTGGCAAAGAATTATAAGCAAGAGGAAAATCCACTAACACTTAGTAAATCAACCACAACCCCCCTACTAGTTATGCTGAAGGTAATAATGTCTGTCTTTTGACCTCATAAATCATAAATAATTTCAGTACACTAAGAAACACAAAGTTCAGAGGGCAGGAGTTTAAATAAGAAAGGTTACATAGGGAAATTACAAAAGTACAATATAGTACAGGTGATCTGTTTCTTTTCTCTAACAGCTTTTAATATTTTGTTGTATTTCTGGGATCTTGATCACTACATGTCTGGGTGTAGATTTATTTTGGTTATGGCTAACTGGAGTTCCATATGCTTCACTTATCTGTATGCCTGATTCTTTTTCCATGCTTGGGAAATTTTCTATTACCTCTGCAAATAATCTTTTTATGTCACTTGTGCTGACACCTGCTCAACCAATGACAAATGCTGGAGATTGGTGAAACCACTGTGGAAATCAGTTTGGAGATTCCTCACAAAACTAGGATTAGCAGTCCCACTTAACCCAGCTATTCCCCTTCTGGGTATTTTTCCAGAATTAAAAACAGCATACCACAGTGATATACGTGCCCCCACGTTTATAGCAGCACAATCTGTCATAGCGAAATCTTAGAAATAACCCAAATGCCCATCCCTGAGGAATGGACAAAAAAGATGTGGTATTTTTATACAATGGAGTATTATTCAGCTATAAAAAAAGATAAACTCAAGGTTTTTATAGGTAAATGGATGCAACTAGAGACCATACTCATAAGCAAAATAAATGAGACCCACATGTGTAAACACTATATTGTCTCCCTAGAGTAAGAACCTGCAAGAGTAAATCAAACCCAATAGATAATATGAAAGGGAAAGAAACTGCTCAAAGGAGGGAACAACTGGGATGAGGGAACAAAGAAAAAGAAAGAACTAAGGTAATCTATAAATATATACATATATATATATATATATATATACACACACACATAAGGAGAGAGAGAGATAGCTGAGATAACTACTGCTGATGTCTGGTGGTTTACTGAAAGGAATAGTTAATGCTTAAATTTTTTTTTTACATTTTGACCAATTTTGCATGCTTATATCTGGTAATCTGAGCAATTGATATGAAGACAATAATATGCAATGTAACAACCACTGGTGAATTCCTATCACCTTGTCTAGTGAAACTCTGTATTGTCACTAATATTTTTTTAAATTATTATTTTATTATTCTCTTTAATGTTTTGATCAATCTTCCATTCTTACATCTGGTAATCGAAGCAACTTTGTTGAAGATAACAATATGTAATATAACAACCACTGTTAATTCCTATCTCTTGGTTTCAAAACCCCGTATCATTTTTAATGTTCTTCCTTTGTTTTGTATTTTACTGTTGTTCTTTTTTCTACTATTCTCTTTAAAATAGAAGAAATAAGGTATCATGTAGTAAAGAGGGCTGTCAGGGAGTATCGTGGATGCTTCACATGGTCTGAACTTATATGCAGTCTGTTTCCTGGCCATATTTCACATTAACTCATAAGCTGCGAAAGGGAACATTAATTCTGAATGTAGTACTGAAATAACCCTACTTCTATAACACACAGTGAAAATGTATTCTTAAAGGGAGTTTAATGTTGTATGTTATAAGCACAATAAAAAGACCAAAAAGAAGAAAGATTGATTATGGATTAGGGAAATTCAGAAAATATCAGCACTTATTATATTTTTGGAACCAGTAAGTGTCCAATTAATATTAAATGAATGTATACCAGTTAACTTCAAGTATCTTATAACCACAGAGCAATTTCTAACCTATGTCATAAACACGACATGCAATAAAAGTTAGTGAACTAAGTTGGGTGTGGTGGCACACACTGTAAGCCCAGCACTGAGGGAAGCTGATGCAGCAGGATGGCGAGTTTGAGCCCAGCCTGGGAACCTTAGCAAGACCCTATTTCAAAATAACAAATAACAAATAAAAAGAGCTGGGTCTAGCTCAGTGTGAAGGCCCAGGGCTCATCCCCAGTTTCAAGACTGTCCAACAAAAAAGTTAGGAGCTCTTCATTTATATCCTCCAGGGTGGTAGTGGTCCTCAGGAACTGTTTTCACTCCCTTAGAAATAGTTTATTCTTTCAAGTAAGATATTTCTAAAAAATAAGATTAAAATAAAGACATCTGTTGAAACAGATCCACTGGAATTGTTTTTAGCCTGCTGAGGAAAAAATGCAAATAGATGACAGTGTATATATTACATATAAAATGAGTGATCCATTTAAAATAACATGTAAATAACCTACCAAATCCAGGAACACTTTTGAGACTGGCTTTGAGGCAAATTTTCTCCAATCTGAGGTAGCTGTATCTCATCAGACAATTCCATAGAAACATCCAATCCATTCTTGTCCGGTGGTTCATGATAATAACACTTCTTTCTCCAGGGACAAACGCGTCACCTGTTATAACCACTTTTACACCAAACATGGTCTCCAACAATGCCTAAGAAAATAACAATATATACAAATGGCAATTTAAGATTATAAGTTTGATTATGTTTCCCATGATTCCTACTTCTATAAAGAATCAGGGAGGTTAGTCTAGAAAAATGAGAATAGCAGGACTATGCTATTTTTCTGTTCCACTAATTTAAGTTTCTGGCCATTTCATAATAGAAAAATGCTTATGCTTACTACTTGTGAAATCCTCAAAATATATCACTTAAATTGAAAAACTGCAAGAGGTGTACACTAAGATTCTACTGTATCATTTTAAAAGTATATAGACAATTAAAATTATTACTGAATTTTCTTCTGGGAAAGATAGTTCAAAAGTATAACACTGGATACAGGACTGATGAAACAAAAATCTAAATTTTCATTGTATACTTTTTGTAGAACGACCTTTTGTTAACCAAAAGCACATCTGTTCAATTTTAACAATAAAAAATTTAAGAAACTAAATGTCCAATAAAACACTACATTCCTGGCAACCACCAGTGTGCCTGGCACATAGTAAAATGTTCGTATGTTTGTGGAATTTGTTCAATTAACTTTTCTAATGGCCATGAATATAAATATGTAAAATACTTAAAAGAAAATATATTACAGAGTAGAGTTTTAAAAAGTAAAACCACAGATGATAAAACTTGTTCACTAATTTGAATCATTCTTTTTAATTAATTTATTTTTTTAGATGAGCTCTTTCTATATTGCCTTTGCTAGTCTCGAACGCCTGAGCTCCAGACACCCTCCTACCTCAGCCTCCTAAGTAGCTTATGTCCATGCCACCGCATCTTTGTTTAATTTCTTATTTAAATTTCAAATTATTTATAAATAATAAGTATAGCTAGTTAATATGATTTCACTATTAATAAAAAGTTGGTCCAAGGCAGATAAAAAGAAAACCAAATTTTCTTAGGCAAGTATCATGATCACCTTTCAAAAGACAACAAATAAACTGTAGTATTGTCATAAAGTAGAAAATAATACAACAATGAAAAGAAACTATAGCTATCTACAGCAACACAGAAAATATAAACAATGCTGAAAGAAGTAAAACAAAAGTGGTCATACATAATAAATACCCATATATTAGACTTTCTAAGAGAGAATGATATCTTAGAAGCAAATATGTAGATGACAAAATTCTAAAAATAAACAAAATAAACAAACAAACAAAAAACTGAAGTAACAACTCTGTATCTATATGTATGTGAGAGAGACAGAGAGACAGACTGGGGATAAAACCCAGGGCCTTTGCACTGTTACATCCCCACTCCTTTTTTTTAAACAAGCTATCACTAAGTTGCTCAGGTTGTGCTCAAACTTGGCAATCCTCATGCCTCAGCCTCCCACAGTGTTGGGATCACAGGTGTATTTTCAGTCATATTAGTGCCTACTACATCTGCCAAAAAGAAGGGCAGACTTGGGAGTTTTTTTAAAGGGCTAGCAATGTCGTATTTCTTGACCTGGTTGAGAGTTACATGTAAAATCATTTATTAACAAGTTCATTTATGTTTATTAATTTTTCAGTATGTCTGCTATATTTTACAATAAAAAGGATTTTTTTTTTGTGATACAACAGAACAGGATTTCAAAACATTAGAATACAACAGATCAAGAAAAAACAGTACAAAAGTCCTAGCACTTGGGAGGCTGAGGCAGGAGAATCATGAATTGGAGGTCAGCCTGGTCTACAAAAAAACTTCAAGAGCTAGCCTGGCTAGCTGGACAGAGCTTTATCCTGTCTAGAAAACAGGCTGAAAATGTTTAAAGCTAAAGAAATATACTGGAAATGTAAAAAGAAGTTAGAAATGTTCTATGTCCAAATTATTATACAGTCAGAGTGTTAATATCCTGACAAACAAAAGATCATCTGGTGTGAGAAACCAAAAGTGTAAATAAGGACCAAAATGTATATTAAGTATTGTGAAATAAGAAGAAAATGTTCAAAGGCGGAGGGAAGGAGGGATTGAGGGTGGGTAGAGGAATGGGGAAACAAAAAGAATTAAATTACATCATGTATAGGTACAAACTCTATGATGAATATTATCTTTACATATATCTAAAATGTACCAATAAAATCTGATTGAAGGGAAAAAAAGTAAGATCATTTGAGCTAATGCAGCTTCAAATAACCCAGGGGTGCCTGTTAAATTACCTCCCAGGGCTGCCATTTGTAATAGGTCATGGATACTTATCTTGGTACCTGTCATGCTCAGGGATGACCTAAACAGAGGCATTACACATGCAACCCTCTTCAAATTATATAAACATGTAAATACATAAGTGCTTAGCAGAATGCCTACCATTTTCATCACAGTTTCAAAAGAGTCCATAACTACTCAAATAACTAAAAGCTCTATTCCAAAAAGTCTCTGAACATTTAAATCCCTTTCTGAAAGACATCATGAGGGAGAGGATAATGGCGGAGTCCTCTAGGCTTCAACTCACGGGAAAAAAATCTTTTTCTACATGTAAGTATAAAGGGCTATAAACTACCAAAACATCACTAAATTACATGTCTCATCCCAAAGCTATATATGAAGTCACCATGCAAGGTTAATTTGGACTAACTCTATTCTACCTTCCAAATATGATAAGCTTTTCAGTTTTTGCAAAGAAGTGAAATGCAGAATGCCTTTCCCATAATTGGTAGAAAATAGTTCACTATTAATTATGTGTTACACTAATGAAAAGAGGTAAAAGCCTACACAACCCAAAACTCAACTGTAACCCCAATGTACAATTTCTAACATATGATTCCTATGGCTCCCAAATATTTTGCTTCTCATTATGGAAACTGTCAAAACAGAACATGTGACATGCATCCAGGAACATCTTGTAGCATTCTCTTCCCTGACATCTAACACTCTATATAACTTTCAGTCATATTCTAATAATCCTTTAGGTACCTTGGATCTCAAACTCATTTTTAATGATTAAATCATTTTAATACCAGCAAGACATATCTAGTCAACATTATTTCCCACCTATTTTGCAGCTGCAAAGGCAGAAAATCAAATACACTACACAAATATAAAGTTTAATGTCTATAAAGAACTTCAGAGTTCAAAGAAATCTATATTTTTTTTTAAATTGAAAAAAGGCACTGTTCTCACATTTCTCATATTTATTCTATTTCTAGTCTAGCAGGTAACTGCAGAAGAAACTAATATTAATTTTCAGAAGTTTATACTGCTTCATTTTTTATTGAATGAAGAGTGACAAGTCTATGAGTTTTACGTAACTGGGTCAAAGATTTTTCATATAATTACAAATACAGAAGCAATTTCTATACATAAGTATATCACAGTTACCAGCTCCAAATATTCCACCTCTCATAATCAAGAGAGTAAGTTTTGTCCTCATGCTCCTTGTTCTCAATTATCATTCCAAAGGATCGTTAGTCCATGGTAACAACTTTGTGACACTGCTCATTTCCAAGTCAGCTATGGGTTTTCAAGCTCGACTTAGGCCTGTTTCCCCATATCCCTATCCATTTAAAGATCAGCAATCCCAAGCCATTCTTCAAACACAGGGCAACTGCGTTCTTAAGAGCAGCAGTGTAGGCAGAAATTACATCCAGTAGTCTGTGTTCACTGAACATCTGTGTTACTCTAGGACTAGGATGCTATCCGGCACACTGTAAAGAGATTTATTCCCTGGGGACAAAGTTAAACAATGAGTTCTCAATTTCCTCTCATGAACTCTAGATGCTTTTACAGTCCCGGATAATTAGTTAACAGTGAAACTGTTGGTAAGACTCAGAATTTTGAGGAACAAAAACTGCTCTGGGTACATACAGGATTTGGCCCTGACCATATTAATTACACTGCACAGAACTATCCAATCATGAAATGAACGAAGACACACACTCACTAGTATAGAAAGGTTTAAAGAAGCAATGGATGATTATTCTACAAACTGACACAGAAAGGACACGTAGTTGCACACATAGTTGGGTTAGGTGACCTCTAAGTCTCATCTAATTAGAGGACTCTGCACAATTTACATTTTTTGAATGCTATGCCTCACTTAACACTGAAAATGTACTCCTTAAAAATAGTAAGACAGGCAAAAAAACCTTGCCAACAAAGTAATTTTAATGCATAACAGAAGCTTACAAAAGAGATCATTTTGATTGTATCTGTGAAGCAGTAATTATTTTAAGTGCATTTAGCCTCTTCTATTTTTAGTGAAAAATTATTTTCAATTGTTTGTGACTGCTTAAAATAAAGTATGCCTACAGAAGAAAAAAGACTAAATTGTTGATTAAATTTATTCTAAATAAGAAATGTGCTTAAAAATAAGAGCCTCTTTAGCACCTTATGAAATATAAGATGGTAAGATATCCTTAACAGCTTTCTCCATCTTTTTAAACAGAGATAATTACTAATTTAAAAGTTGAACATCAATTTTTCTGTACACTAGTTATAGTGGGTAAGATGTCTATGAACTTCTTAACTAATGACTCTCCCTGATGTGCTATGACTACTGAACTAAACAGCTGGGTAATAGTTTTTCAAACATATACTGATTTCATAGTATGGCAGTACAGCAACCTTACCATACGTAAAATTTTCAAGTCAGCTAATAGGATGAAAGTCAGGAAAAGCTGAAATTATCACTGCAAATATCCCAGGAAGGTGCCTCACAAGAGCTCAGCACACTATAGTTAAGTCCAGCTCAGCCAGTTTTCCCAGTGTTGGACCAGGTGTTCTTTCTCCAGCTGACCATCAAAGTGAAGGTCTGCAAGTTGTTTTTTTTTAAAAAAAGGACTATCTTTAATACCAGAATAACACTGGGCAGAGAATTACTCATATTTCCCATTCCATCTCCCATAAAGCAGAGAAAATTTCTTTTCTTTGCTGAGTCCTCCTCTCCCCATCTTGGGTGCATATAAATACACACATGATGCAATTCTGCTATGATACTAATGCTAGAGTAATAGCAGTTCCACAACTTGTCCAGTAACCTGTCCAGTAAAAACCAGCATTT